CAGCACAGCCTCTTCCATCAATGCCCACAGGGCAGGCCATGTGTCTCGTCCTAGAGTACATCGTACCTGGGCTCCAGCTGGCCTGGGAACTCCTCCCTTTGAACCCTGCTGGAGAGGAGCCCGGCCAGCCTGCCAGGCATGGCTTGCTGTCTGTGCCAGGAGGTCATGCTGAGTTTTATGGGCAATGAAAGTTTTTGTAGAGCAGCTTTTCCCACAGATGGTGGTTGTGTGTGAGCACATCGCTCGGTGGCTCTGGGACCCCTCACTGGGAGGGCTCACCCTCTGTGAGAGCGAAGAGCAGGCAGCCAAGGCTCTGGCAGCAGCAGGAGTGGCTGTGCCTTGCTTCCCTTTGGCTGTCTCAGGGAAAGCTGGTGCCTGCAGGCGTGGGGGGAGCCTGGAGCCCCCCGAGGAGGGCATGGGGGGCTGGCCCTGCACACCCAAGGTTGGTGCTCTGATGGTGCAAAGAGCAGCAGCTTTGGGCATATGGAAAAGTAATGCTGACAGCTGGTGTGTGGCAGGTTCAGGCAGTGTTTTCCTCTGTGCTTTATTTAGTGGTAACATATCAATTTTGTCTTCCTGAGAGCACAGCCTGCCAGGAACAAGGTCAACCTCGATTTACCCCACACGTTCAATTCAGATTACGTTCTTGACTTTCTAACCATGGCAGACAGGATTAAAAGTGTTACAAGCTGCAAGGAATCATCTTTCCTGTGTCTGCTTGCAGCATCCTGCCTGCTCAGGTATACCTGCAGAGCCAGGCATCCCTCTGCCAGCTCCTGCTCCAGGTAGGAGCGTGACTCCCCCGGGATACTCCTGGCTGTGAAGTCCCCTCTGTAGCATCCCCAGGGCTGGTCTGGGAGCCTGACAGCTGCAGGAGATTCCATCTGGTGGGAACCACTCCCTGGCGTTAGCAAGGGCCTCTGGAGCAAAATGAAGAGTGCTTCTGTGTAAAGTTAAGTAACTCCTTCCCTGCAGTGCTTGCAATGCAGCACTGCAGCAGGGCCCGGAGCCCAGGATGCAGGGCTCGCGGGCTTGGCTCCGGCTGCGACGTGCCTGGGGAGTTGTTAGCACCGGCATGTGTGGGAGAATAAATCAGCAGCTGAAGCGGCTGCAGAGAGATGTGAAGCTGAAGCTGAGGGCAGTGTGTCCGAGTCACAGTGCAGGAGGAGCTGGGGACCAGCTTGTAGCTGTGGGGGAAGAGCTGTGTGCCCTGGCTTTGGTGTGAGCAGCCGGGGAAGGCTCTGCAGCGGTGTGGGCATGGGGAGGACAGTGCTTTGCTGGGCTGTGTCACATCTCGCCCGTAACACATCACGCAGACGGGACAGGGCTCTGGTGTGATGGGGGTGGGGAGTGGGGTTACTCCCCTAGCCAGGAGCAGAGCATCCCTGTGCCCCCTGAAAGGGTCTGTGTGGTGCCTCCTGGGGCACAGGGTTGTGATGTCGGTCCCTGCATGGCACCCCAGGAGCTTTCAGGCGTGCCCTCAGCTCCTTCAGCTGGGCTTGTAGCTGCTCCTCAGTGCCTTTCCCCCTGCTCCAGGGAGGTGAGGAGGGAGAGCTGCGTTCTGCAGTTTGAAGGTCATTGCCAGCTCCGGAGGGAGCCGAGGCTCTCTGCTCTCTGGAGTGAGGGGTGCTGCTCCGGAGGGCCACGCGGGGTGGTGAGATGCTGCTCGGGCTGTGAGAGGGCCACGGGTGGCAGACGGCCAGGACAGCCACGCTAATTACTGCTCCAGCTCCTGCCTGAAGAACAGAGCTCTGCTTTGCTTTGCCTTTTTTCTCCTCCTTTAAGGTTTAGCCGGAGGCCTGTGGATAACATGCAAATCAGGGCTTTCATTTGCACACTCCATTCGTGGTGATATTGTGGTTCCCCTTGAACCCGCTCTGCCTCCGTGGGCGCCAGCCAGTTCCTCCAGGAGCAGGTCCCTATCTCTGCTGAGACATTCTGGGGCTGGGGACAGGCACCTCTGCTCCTGCCACGGGAGTCTGCTGTGCCAAAGGGGACAGAGGGCAGCAAACCCACGTCCTCACCCTCTCCTCCCCTTTCCCTGCCAGGTTTGCACGTCTTCGCCATCGCCTTCGCCTTGGAGGTGTCGGTGGGCAAGACCAACACTGTGATGGCTCTGAATAACTCCAATGTCCTGCTGCCCTGCGTCTTCACCACCTGCATGGGCTTCCAGGACCTGGTCTTCACGTGGTATTTCAACTCGACAGAGTTGGTGGGTGGCTCTCTGGGCTGTGTTCTGCATTTCTGGCAGGTCCTTATGTGCTTCCCCAGTGCAGACCAGCACTGCAGTTCTCACGGTTCCTTTTCTCCCCATGAAGGACTCCCACCCCTGTGGGTAGACTGTGCAGACAGGGAGACTGAAATACCCCACCACATCTGTGCTTTTGGCCCAAAGCTGTTCCAGATTTGCTGCTGCTCATGGGCTCATTTATGTTCATAAATTGATTGTTCAGGTCCAAGTCTCCACTTTGGGCAAATATGGCTTATACCAAAGGCTCTGTGAAGATTTACTTCCTGCTGGGAATATTTGTTTAGCAGGAGGGCTGGTTTGGAGCAGCTCTGGCCAGCAAAGGGGCTCTCTGTGCCTGGGGTTCTCCCATTTTTTTGGATGGTCTGTACTGTCACTACAAGGCAGGTCAGATCAATCTGCTGCTTCCTGGC